GAAGGCAACACGTTGGATGGAAAATGATTAGGAGAACCGCAAATAAAGCCCACTCTGCTGCGGGCTGCTCTCAGTGCAAACCCACGGGAGGAGCAGGGTGGGGTCACTAGATGGCAGCAGAACACGCCATTTCCACGCGAGTGAAAAGAAACCAGTGAAACGTAAATAAAGACGCCTAAGATAAATACATTCATTAAAAATAAATAAATTGATAAAGAATAAAGAAAGTAAAAATGAAATAAATTAAAAATCAAGAAATCAAAATGAAGGAAGAAATTAAAGATAAAGAAACTGGAAAGAAAAGTGGAAAGAAGCTAAATAGAAAGAAATTAAATAGACACAATAAATTAAAAATAAATGAATAAAAATAAAGACACTTTAAAAATAAATTAAAAATAAAACAAAGTAAAAAATCAAGTAAAAAAATTTGAAAAATTAAAACCAAATAAAAAATTAAAAATTAAAAACAAATAAAAATTAAAACCAAACGCAAATCGAAAACAACTACAAATTAAAGACAAACACAAATGAAAACAACCAAAGAACAAAGAAAAATAAATGGAAATAAATAAAACTACGCCTCTCCAGCTGGAGGGCGAGAGGGTTGGGGTGGGGTGGGGGAGGGTCCCCTCGGCTGCTGCCGCGACGCTGTCAAACCCCCCCAGCCCATCCCATCCCATCCCATCCCAATCCCATCCCCAGCCCCGCCGGCGCCGGTACCTGCTTGCCGCGGTAGAAGAGGCGCTGCCGCTGGGGCTCCACGGCGAACACCTCGTGTATCCGCAGGCGCAGCTCCTCGACCTTGGTGAGCTTGGAGAGCGAGTCCACGCGGCGGGTCTCGGCGCCGTCCATGGTGCGCACCTGGATCCACATGGCGGCGGCGCTGCCTGTCCCCGGGAATGCGGGACCCGCGCTCAGCCCGGCGGCTCCCGGGGGGGGCGGGGCCCCCGCCAAGGCCGCGCGCCGATTGGCCGCCCGCCCCGCCGGCCCGCGCGCCGATTGGCCGCCCGGCCTGCCGGCGCCCCGGGCCCCGCCCCCCGTCCCCACGCGGGAGCCCCTAACGGCTCCGCTCGCCACTCGCGCGCGCCACAATTGAAACGCGCCCGCCGCGCCCACGCGCCGGGTCTCGCGCGATCATGTAAATGAGGGGATGAATGGAG